CCCCCCCCCCTCCACTGCAAAGGTTTCACTGTAACACTAGACCCGAGTCTTCACTCTGTTCAGGGCTTTTTCTCTCTTGTGCTCACCAGGCCAGGCAACTCCTCCCCAAGCTCCATTCAAGAGACTTCACCAGGGAGGCCATCCCTGACCCTTGTCTCTAAAGGGCAGCGCCTGCAGGTTCAGGTCATCTTGTGCCTCCTCTCCTCCCTGGGGAAGATGACTCCTCTCTGCTGCTTCTGTTTTTTTTTTTTTTTTTTTTTTTTTTTTTTTTTTTTTATCTTTTTGTCTCTTTTTAAAAAAAGGTTTATTTATTTTTGTATGTATGCATGCCTGCATGTGTGTATGCACACTAGGTGTGTACAGTGCCCACAGAAGCTAGAAGAGGACATTGGGGCCCACTGGAACTGGGGTTATGGGTGGTTGTGCACCACCATAGGGGTTCTGAGAACTAAACCTGGATCCTGTGTAAGTGGAGCAGATACTTTTAACTACTTAACCACCATCGTTCCCGTCCCTGGCTGTCTCCTTTGACTGGAAAGGAACTTTAGTTCTTTCTCCACCCCAGCACCTGGAACTATGCCTGGCAGACAGGCATAGCTGGCACCTGGAAATATTGCTGAGTGGTTGACTGACCCGGGGGATAGGTGCCAGGAAGCATCAGAGGCCTTCTGGGATGAATAATTGTGTGGTTATTGCTGTAATTGCTACTGTGTGGTTCCGATGCCCAGCCCTTTTCCAGAGTCAGCTTTTTCTTCTTGCTTTTTATGTATCTTTCTCTATTTCTTCTTGCCATTACTTTGGCCTTCTCAATTCTTCTCTTCCTTCTCTGCTTTCAAGCCACCCAGTATGGATCTCTGTTTATACAGAGCTATCCCCTCTCAGACATGCTCCAGGCTCTGCAGGAATATCATGTCTTGCATTGGAGCCTTTGTCTTCTGTGAGCCTGAGTTTCTGCTGTTAGGATGAGATGAGCCTCCTGGGCAGGCCTCATTCTCAGTGACTTGCTCTGAGGAAGGCTGGACAGTGCAAGTGACCTTCAGCAAAGGCTTAGGGGAAGAGTTCTGGGCACACATGGCGCCCTAGATGCCTGAAAACTTCAGGGATTCTCAGTGGAGGTTGGTAAATGGTGAATAAGCGAGCCACGGAGAGAGGGGAGTGCATGCGTGTGGCCTGCTGTTTGCAAAGCGCTGCCGTCTGTGTCAGATCCTGTCACTGTTTATGCCTTCCTTCTTCCAGGAGTCAGTGTCCTGCCTGCACTCATGATGACGAGGGACCTGGCTCTGGCAGGCATGCTGATTAGCCTGGCTTTCCTGTCACTGTTGCCATCTGGATGTCCTCAGCAGACCACAGAGGACGCCTGCTCTGTGCAGATTCTTGTCCCCGGACTCAAAGGTAATGGCTCTTCTGCTGCTCTGGCGCTACCCTGGTCATGCCTCTGGGTGTCTCAGTCTCCTGCATGGCCTGGTACTTCACAAATTCACAAAGAATAAATGGCTGTGGTCCAGGTGCATCCTGGGAAATCTGCCCGTCTCTTGGGCTTGGGATTTCCTGGCTAGAAGACCAAGGTTCCATGACAGGTAAACCTTTTCTAGCCAAGGAATTTCGAATTTCTCATTAGCGATATATATGCAACACAGCCTTCTTCTCGGGAGCCTTTTGTGAGGGTCTGGCTCATTTGATCTTGTTCATCATGAGCATGAGCCGGAGGGCTGAGGTTAGCCAGCTTCTTTCCTGCTGCATGATGCTACAGTGTTTACATCCCATGGCATGTAGAGATGAAGTCTGCTTGCAGACACATTTGCAAACAGAACAATAGTCCAGGGGTGTTGGTGGCTTTTCTTCAACTGACAATGAGGGTATCAATGTAGTCCTTGTTCTTCATGAAAATGAGGACACACTGTAAGGATTCAGGCACTATGCTGGCCTGACCCTGTTGCCAGGTCAGCCCAGGGTTCCATGATTGCATAGTCTGCACACAGGTGCAAAGAGCCCCTTTAAAAGAAAGACCCCTGCCCACTTTATGCTCTCTTTCTACTCGTTCCTACTCTCTTTCTGCTCTCTCTTTTCCCTCTGTCTTTCCTGCTGTTCCCCTGGGGGCAGACAGGACTTTTCCTGTCACCCTCTTCTCTTCTTTCCTTTCTCTGTCTCTCTGTCTGTGTCTCTTTACCTCTTTTCTCTCCCCCGCCTTCCCTTTCTAATAAAACTTCTCACTTAAGCTCTGTCTGACTGGCATGTATGTCCTCCGCCTTGGTCACCCTCACCTGCCATGGAATCTGCCAAGGTTCCTCATGCTTTATCATAACGCACACACCTTCATAGTTGGGTCAGACATTATCAAAGCGTGACCCGGATGAAAGCTTTGCGTTCACAGATGTAGATCTGACTTGAGAGGGCGCAAGCGGTAAATTATTTCTACCAGGGAAGAGAAAGCAGTACTACTGATGGTGGGGAATGAGATGGCAGTTTAAATGTCAACCTGACCTCGTAGATGGCTCGTCAGAACTCCACGGGAGCCTGGAAAAAGGGCTGGGCTCTCTGTGGCCTGTTTATCAACACGTGTAAGGAGTCCCTCCCACCCCACTAAGCTTTGAGCAATGCTGGGAACATCTTTGATCTTTATGGCCAGTCAGGGTTGCCCTCCAAGGCCTCCTGGAACAGCTAGACTCAGAGTCTCCATTGAGTTGGGTGTGGCCCTTTAGAGGCAGAGTCAAAAATGCTTTTGAACAAAGGGTCTCACTATGAAATCCTGGCTAGCTGGGGACTCCTGCTCTGCCTGCCTCTGCCTCCTGAGTGCTGAGATCAAAGGGGTGCACTATCACCATCTAGCAAAAACAAATTTTTATGACAAAGTAGTCTCAGGACATAAGGTAATCATGGACAGAGTTGAACTGCATTGGTGTAGGGCGGACTTCAGAGCCTGGGCATCAAGGTGGTTTTTTTTTGGGGGGGGGTCAGCAGTGGGAAGCTCAGGAGGTCTTGTCCCCTTCTTGCCCCTGTGGGTGAAATGGGAAGATTATTCATGAGAATGACATTTAAATGAAGAGGCTTTTCTGATTGGTTGAGAGATATAAAAATTCTTCATTTGGGTCCCGTGTGTGTGTGTGTGTGTGTGTGTGTATATGTATTATGTGTGTACAAATATGTGTGCTTGCATGTGGTGGTCCTTTGACATTGTTCCAGGTGATATCAACCTTGGGTTTTGAGATAGGGTCTCTCACTGACCTGGTGCTTACCAATTAGTCTAGTCTGGCTACCCAGAGAGCCCCAGGGATCCTCCTGACTCTTTCTCCCCAGCACATGTGTGTGTTACTATGCTTGGCTTTTTATATAGAGATTAGGGATCAACTCCATTCCTGTGTTTGCTGTGACAAACACACTACTCACAGCTGTTACTTCATTGCCCAGGCACCATGTTTTAAAATATTTTCATTGGTGTGTTATATCTCATTCCTGCTATATAGTCTGTTAAGTCCTGTTGCAGTCTCTTATGGTGAGTTGGAATCAATATGAACAGTTTTTCAATAAAAGGAGAGACAGACACAAGACTCAAGGGGAGGTCAGGTGGAAGTTGTGTGGTGGGCCCAGTGTCCTTCTTGCCTTCTTTTTAAAGGGGAGGTGCCATCAGGTAAGTGACAAGTGCAGAGGATGATGGTCTGGTTCACTCAGTTTTACCCTAATCCAGGCTCTGATGCCCAAAGAAGCTGTGGTCAGGCCCAGAGCCTGCACTTGGCTCGTCCCTCAGCTGTCATAGGCCATGCCTTCACCAATGCACACCCACCTGCCTCAAATAAGTGAGGCATGTGTAAACTCTAGCAGCTTCTTAGAAAGCTTCTAGAAAAGCTGGAAGGTGTGCTTACAGTCACCTCTCAGTGAGTACTGACAATGCACCTGCTGTGGTGGAGGCCTTCCTTCAGGTGCTCTGGGGGACTTCAGCCCCATGAAGAGAAGAGTCATGGTAGCTGCTTCCGGTGACACACACAGTGATGCATGCACTAAGAAAGAAACACTTCCACATCCTTGCCCATCTTTGGTGGGCATTTGCAGGGGCGGGTTTTGCTTTCGCTCCTCTGTGGGCGATCATGTTGTCCCCTGTGGTTCAGCCTCAGCCTAGCCGTGGCAGGCTCATCTGGAGAGCCTTTGATTCATTCCCTTCTGCCTGTGTGCCTTTCCTCAGAGCACTGCTCTGCTCTGCCTGGCTGCATCCTGCTCACCACACAGCTTCGGCTTAAAAGCCACTTCAGTGGGGAGACGTCTGATCTGATGCATGCGATGTCACTTTTGCTGAAGCTAGTGCCTCCTTCTACCCCGTACCCCGTGTGGCTAATGAGAATTCTCATGTCAATCTGACTTAAAATATTTTTCCTCCTGGATGGCTCACAGAGCATTCTCTTTGTTGTTGACATTCATTTGGCAGTGTCGCTGACACGTCTTCGCTATTTGGCCCTGATTTTTCCCGTGTGGTCTTCTGCAGGCTTTTGTTGTGTTCCTGCTTTCATGCACCCACCCCTACCCCCAGAACTGGAAAGTGTATCTGGCAGCTCTCTACACACTCTAGGGCGTTACACGTCACTCTCTTCCTCTCTGTGTCTCTCTGGAATTCTTGTGAGATGGGTTTGGGCATTTATGAGTTGGTTTCTCTCTCTCTCTCTCTCTCTCTCTCTCTCTCTCTCTCTCTCTCTTTTCCATCTCAACTTGATAACTTCAAAACAAAACCATCAAGGCTTCACAGTTGAGTGTTCCTTAGTGAACAGAAATCCTGGCCCTAATGTTTTGTCTCATGGGAAGTGAGTGAGCTTTCTTCCGGCTACTGCTTTCTAGCTGTGAGGGTGAATTTCAAACAGAAGGTCCCCAGTGGGCTTTCTGTCACACTCACACTCACTGCCACACACCACCATGTCTCCCCTCTCTCTCCACCCCCCCACCCCGCAATTTTGGACAGGGTTTCATTGTGTAGCCCTGGATAGCCTGGAATTCACTATATAGACCAGGATGTATAGACCAAGAGGCAGAGACATGTGGATCTCTGTGAGTTTGAGACCAGGCTGGGGTATAACTCAGTGTAGCTTTTGGTGACTTTCTGTCTTTTAGAAAGAGAAAAGCAGAATCAGATTTGCGTTGTAGGAAGGTCATTTGATCAGGATTGGGTTGGGGTTGAGGCTAGAGAGTAGGTCCCCTGGTCCCCTGGTCCCCTGGCCCCCTGGTCTGCTGTGACTCTCAACCTACCTGTGTACTCATCAAATATCCTGACTGCTTATTTACACCTTTGCCTCTTATACCTGGCCACTGAACCCCAGAACACGGAGGGCACACTTTATTGGTACCAGGTAGCCCGCCCACAGGGGAGGCTACCGTCGGTCATGATGAGAAGACAAGGAGATGCTCCGTGAGAACCCCAGTCTGTTCTCCCCAGCATGTTACCAGGCCACATATTTCTCTGGGGGCCACCTAGTAGTGACATTCCTCCTTACTTCTTATTGTTGGAGCAGTGTGGAGAGCCTTATGGTGGCAAGATAGATGGGGAACCCGCCTAGAAGGGACAGTAGATAGAGGGAAAAACCTGTTCCCTGAAAAATAAAGCAGTGTAGGGAAAGTACATCCTGAGCTTAGACACAGGCACCCAGAACTCGTCCCAGTGATGCTGATTGCAGTTTGGGGTAGCTTGGGCACGGAGTAGGGTCAGACTGGCTGCACCATGTGTGAGAGCCTTCCTAATTCTTCTGTATGATGCATAACATCATAGCCCTGTCCTAGCCAGAAAGGGCCTAAACAGTTATGACTTCTTCCACAGGGGATGCAGGAGAAAAGGGAGACAAAGGAGCCCCAGGGCGGCCAGGAAGAGTCGGCCCTACAGGAGAAAAAGGTGAGTGTCGCAGCTGAGCAGCACCTCGTAACCATTTCTTTTTGTACTTGACACCCCTGCAGCATGTGGGCAGGCTATGGGCACAGATCTACAGGGCCTTCAGTTTCGTGTCTCCAGGGCTCCGCCTGACACTGGTTGCCTGAGAGCTGTCCCTCCAACAGTTGTTTGAAACAGATCTCGAAATGAAATATCTTTAAATAGCTTTGAAGTCCCTGGGTGATCTCAGTTGTAGCTGAGCTCCTTGTCTGTGTACTTCACTGTCCCCCAAGCAAGTGACCTCCCCTTCTTGAGACTAGGGAGGTCTGCAAGTACAGAAATCCCAGTTCCCATGCTGGGCTGCAGTCTCTATAGAGTGTCAGTCTCTGGAAGGACCTGAGGTTGGCTTGTATTAATAGGCCTAGGTGCTGCAGCAGCAGGCTGTGTTTCCCAGGGCAGTGGGCTCCCCACCCTTGGTCTGGACAGCTCAGCTTCCACCAGATGTAACTTGTGCCCACCTGGGACTGCTCTGAAGGAAACGGCTGATGTGCCCAGCAAGCAACACCCTGCCAGGGAGAATTGCCTTTATTGAAACAAAGCCAGGCAGGATGGAGCCAGCAGAATCGCCTGCTGTCATCTGCTGTTTATTGAGGCAAGAACAGTATCTACATTTCTGGGTTGTGTGGCAGGCGCAGAGTGGCTCTGCTGATGTGACCCGATACGTGAGTGTCTGTGTCGTCCCAGATTTTTCTGTCTGGTCCCCAGACTTAAGCTGTGACAAGAGCGGGTGGCTGTCTTGTTCCCTCCACAGAGGCTGAGGCCCCTCCTGGCACAGACAGTGGAGGGCAGCTGCACCAGCACCGGTCTGTCATGAGCTGTAACACACACACGCCATCCTTCATAAAAATCGCTGAGGAGGCTGAATTGCAAGTGCCCCTTTTGCCCCATCTCCACTTCAAAGGGCTCTGATATCTTCATTAAAATTAATATGAATCACACACCTGCTGTGAGCTGCCCACCCGCTCCACTCCTCCTGCGTGTCTGGAGAACAAATGGGAACCACCCCACTTCTCGTTAGAGTAATGGGCTATAAGGACGGCAGGTCACAATGGCTCCCAGCATTTGGAGTTGCCTCCGTCAAGCTTCTCCACTTAAAGGCACAGGTGCTAAATGTATCTCAGCGCCACTGAGCATGTGTGCACACCACATAAAGCTGACTGTCCTGTGAAGCAGCTGGAAGACCTTCCTGGAAGTAGGAAGGAAATGAAAGCTTTTGTCAGAATCTCCTCCCGCAGGAGCTTTAGCCTTGTAACGATGCTGCCAATTCTGCCCATGGAGCTAAAACAAGTCTGACCAAAAAGGGAGGATGAGCAGACAGTCTTGATGTCTCAGTAGTTTTCATCTTCTCTTCCTCCTCAACACATTCAAACAATAGGATACTCCTAGCTGCAGCAGCCGCCAATCCCATATGCAGCTATTAAGGAAGGTGGAGATAGCAAGAGATTGTTCCATGTGTCTATCCTTCCCCTCCCCCCCACCACCCTGGGTGCTTTGAGTAAACTGGATTCTAAGCCAACTCTGTGCTAACTAACTTTACCACCCTGGGGTGTGTAAGGATCGACCGTATAGCATGTATGCTCACATGCAAAGCATGTGTATTGTGTGTACATGCTTATATGCAGACATGCATGCACACACAAACACACATGTAAATTACTATTTGTATGCTTATCTATAAGTATGCACATATAAAGTGTCATGTGTTTTTGTGCCCACATATGTGCACATGTATGTATGTGTGCAAATACTCTGTGTATGTGTTTGCGTTCACATGGATATTTGTGTGTCTGTATGGTACACATGTATCTTTGTGTGCACATATATGCATGTGAATGAATTCACGTGTCTGTATTTTATATGGAGTGCACAAATATTTGCAGGAGAGGAAACAGAGGCTTGAAGATGATTTACAACTTGTCCAAGGTTAGTGTAAGTGAAGCTGGATGTGATGTCGCACATCTTTAATCCCAGCACTCGGGAGGTAGAGGCAGACAAATCCCTGTTAATTTAAGGCCAGCCTGGTCTACATAGTGAGTTCTAAGCCAGCCCGGACTCTTGTGAATGGAGACCTGGGGTTTGGGTCTGGGTCAGAGTGTGGATTATGCCTGGAATAACTGGATAATTGTGTTCACTGTGTGGCCTTGGACGTATCCCTTCTGGGCCTTACTTCTCTGAGAATGTAGAAGATGACCGGGTCAGTCAGCTTGTGCTGCCACAGTGGGCCACCAAGTAGAAAGTGATTTGTTTCTTTGAAATCTGGAGGTTGGAAGTCTAAGACATAGGTTGAGCAGGGATGGTTTCTCCAGGACTTCCTTTTCCTGTGTCCTCACATGCACTATACTCTGTGCATACCTGGTGTCTTCTCTTATAAGGCCACCAGTGCTGTTGGATTAGTGACAGACACACGACCTATGACCTCAATGAGCATTCACAACTCACTTCAGCACAGACTTTTTAGATGGACTGTTCAGCTCATCAAAAGATGGGAATGGTGGGCTGGGGATGAGACTCAGTCAGTAAAGTGCTTGCTACACAAGCACATAGACCCGAGTTCAATTCCGCAGAACCCGTGTGAAAAAAATCAGGCACAGTGGCCCATATGTGTAACTGCAGTGCTGAAGAGACAGAGCCAGCCTAGCCAAATTGGCAGGTTCTAGGTCATCGAGAGACCTTGTTTTAATAAACACCTGGCCTTTGGCCTTCACACACATGCACACACAAATGAACACATATGTATACACACATCATAGCAATGAGAATGATATGATGTTCAGCTCAGTAGAGTCACACAAATGTACTGTCCTGGCACAGTATACCGGAAGTGTCTGTGTTGGTCCCTTACTGGTGGAGAAGGGAGCAGACCTACCCCTCTCTGCAGGCTCTCCCGTGCTCTTGCTGTCTTCAAGGATTAGGTGATGGGGGAATCTCAGGCAGACTGAAAGAAGCAGGGACAAAGCCAGCACTAGCTGTGTTTGGTGCCCATCAATCACCTGGGACTGTGTTAAAAGTGCAGGTGCACATCTACCCAGCCCCTGGGGCTGTCCGTGTGGCTTGTCACATTTCCAGACTCCCGAGTGCCTCCGCCTGTGACGATGAATAATTGTTGCTGGGGACACGTGTGTCCCACCTGCTATGTGCCAGGTGCAGTTCTGGGTGGTGTGCCTATCTCTCCAGCATCCAACTAGGGGCATACTGCCAACCCTGTTTCATAGGTGCAGACCCAGCACAGAGGCCACTGAGCCAAGCTCTGAGCCCGTTTTGCCAACAAGGATGCCAGGCTGCTGTTTGAGGTGGCACAGAGCCACCGAGCAAGGCCATCAGGCAGTGGGGAGGAAGGGGAGAAGACAGACAACTTGATTATGGGTATTTTCTTTCAAAAGCCTTTTCTACAGGATTTTAGCTTCTTCTTGTTACTTTAAAAATGTATTATTTTCTGTGTATGAGTATTTTGCATGCATATATATTTATATTCAATGTTCCACATGTGTGCCTGGTTCCAGAAGAAGGCATCAGATTCCTTGGAATGGGAGTTATAGATGATTGCATGCTGCCATGTGGATGCTGGGAACTGAACCCCCCGGTCCTCTGAAAGAACAGCTATTGCTCTTAACCATTGAGTCATCTTTCCAGCCTCTTATATTATATGTAGTTTTTGAGACAAGATCTCATTCTATCTTATTCTATAGCTCTAGCTGGCTCTTAACTCACTATGTAGACCAGGCTGGCCTTGAATTCACAGGGATTATAATATGAATCACCATTCCCACCTTATATGTTCACTTTTTTGAGGCAGAGTCTCATGAAGCCCAAGCTGGCCCTGAAATTACTATATAGTCAAGGATGACCTAACACTTCTGGTCTTCTTACTTGTATCTCCTGAGTGCTAGGATTACAAACTGTGTCCAGTTGCATGCTGGGAACTTTGTGCATGCTAGCAATCACTCTCCCAACTAAACTATACCACAGGCTACCCCAGGCTCAGATTCAAGGTGTACAGAGCTAAAATCAAAGGCTCAGAGAGGGTGGAGGTTTGAGTAGGTATAGCCCCCATAGACTCATGTGTTTGAATGCTTGCTGTATAGAGAATGGCACTATTAGGAGGTGTGGCCTCATTGGAGTAGGTGTGGCCTTATTGGAGGAAGAGTATCATTGTGGAGGAGGGCTTTGAGGTCTCTTATGCTAAAGTGAATCCTAGTACAAGAGTGTTTACTTCTGCTGCCTGTGGATCAAGACATAGTACTCTTGGCTTCTTCAGCACCACATCTGCCTGCACGCCACCATGGTTTCCTGCCATGATGATAATGGACTAAACCCCTGAACTGTAAGCCAGCCCCAATTAGATGTTTTCTTTATAGGAGCTGCCGCGGTCATGCTGTCTCTTCCCAGCAACAGAAACCCTAACTAAGACAGAGAGATTAATAAATTCACCCAGGGTTGCTGACTAACCCAGGTTATTCAGTTCCATAAGGGTAGAGAGGATATGTAGACTCAGGGCTGCTTCAGTCCTTGTGGGGCTACTTTTCCTGTCTCCCCAAATCTTGGCACATCTTAAACCAATGGCATCAATGTTCTGTGGGAACTTGATAGCACTGTCCAGCACTCAGGGACCCAAGAGGCCCCCTAAAGGCTGCTGCCTACCCAGGCCACCTGGCCTGGTCTTTCTAGAGCTTGAGACTCAGATTTTGCCTCCCTTGTGTCCTTCGTCTCCTCTGAGCTGAGTTGCTGTTGTCTCCACCGTGTCTTGTTTTCCACACTTGCTCTTGGTTCCTGTGTACCCCGATGGCAGGGCTTGGCACCCATGCTTCTCCAAGGGCAGGAGCTGAGCATGGTGCCAGCTGGTACCAAGAGCCAAGTGTCAGCAACAGCTTTGAATTCCTGCTCCTGTTGTGCTGTGAGAGTTGGGGATGGGTTGAAGCCAAGTGTTCTCAAATCAGCCTCAGGTTGTGGCTGATTTATGACAGCCGGACACGTGCTGGACTCTCACTGCATGCCGGCAGCCAGTGGACTGAATTGGACAATGGAGTGCTAATTGATTGTTCTGTTGAGGTGGGAATTTTCCAGGGAAGGAAAACCACCCGGAGGCATTTGTGATGCAAATGTTTTTCCTTCGGAGACTTTTGAGCCTCTTTATCCTGTCTGCCTGTCACCTCAGGGACCTGATCTTCTACCGTGTGGCCAGAAGGCTGAGAAGGCAGAGCTGTGGTATGACTTTTCCCCTACTATAGCCTTGAATCAGCTAGACAATTCTTGAAGGGAAGCAGCCCCATCCATAGTAGACAGGAGACCTGGATCCTTTCCCATCTTTCCCTACACAGCATACAACAAGCCACACGTACACTCGGGAACCTCAATCCCACCTGCCTTGTGGTAGCAGGCAACTGATCTCCCAAGGTTTTAGGCATTTAGTGGGAGCTGGCCTTTCCAGGGTGAAATCTTTGCTTTTTATTTTCTAGGACCCAGCTACCCAGCCCTTGTCCATATGGGAATGTGGCAAGCCTGGGCATTGGAATGAACCATCTGTCCATTCTTTATACAGGAGAGCAGTGCAGTGGGGTGGAGTGTACCCATCTGTCAGATGGACAAGCTGAACCTTATGTCCCCCAAACATGTGATGTGAACTTGGGCTGGGCAGGCATGCTCACTGGCTGGCACGGGGGTGGGGAACAGTGGAGTTGGACTCCTGTATGTGGAGAACTGCTGTGCTCCCACCTCCTCTGTGGGGCTTCAGCGGGTCATTTTGACGTGTCTTATCTGTGGTTTCCAGGGTGCATGCATGCAGCCAAAGGCAGCTTCAATTACAGATCAACACAAAGTAACAAATGTACATCAAATGTGAGATATTTTTGTGAATTCTTTAAAAACTCAGTTGCGTGGCCTAGCATGAACCATGCAGATGTCAGGGGAATGCTACAACCTCAAAAGATTGGAGAGGATTGCTAAGGTCTCTCCTTCCTTCCCCATTCTTTAACTCATTGATCATGACACACTGCCTGCCCTGGTCTTAGCCCTTCTCCCTCTAAACACCACCCTGACTGCCCCCCCCCCCGGCCACTTGTAGGGCTTCATAGAGTTGCTGCCCAGCTACTAGATTCCTCTAATCCCACTAGATTCCTTCTTTACTGGTATCAAACCCTACTCTGTCCTCATCTTGCATCCACTGCCTTTCTTCCTGTTTAACTCTGAGATTTTGGAGCCCTGTGCCCTCCCTGGTTTTCCCGTTTTTTTGTTTTTTTTTTTGTTTGTTTGTTTTGTTTTTCTTTTTTTTCTGAAGTCTTTTTTTTCAAGACAGGGTTTCTCTGTGGCTTTGGAGGATGTCCTGGAACTAGCTCTTGTAGACCAGGCTGGTCTCAAACTCACATAGATCTTCCTGCCTCTGCCTCCCGAGTGCTGGGATTAAAGGCGTGTGCCACCACCGCCCGGCGGTTTTCCCGGTTTTAAAATGACCCACTCTGGGAGCTGGAGAGATGGCTCAGTGGTTAAGAGCACTGACTGTTCTTCCAGAGGTCCTGAGTTCAATTCCCAGCAACCACATGGTGGCTCACAAACACCCTGAATGAGATCTGGTGCCCTCTGCTGGCATGCAGGCAGAAGAAGACTGTATACATAATAAATAAATAAATAAAATCTTAAAAAAAATTGACCCACTCTGTACAAGGATATCCAGGCCAGAAGCCTTGACCTCACCTTACATCCCATCACTGAGTTGTTGTCAACTCTCAGACAACTGTCAGTTGGGAGGCTTCTTTTCATTCTCCTGGATGCTGTCTGGCTAGCCACCAGCTGGCCTCTGTGCCTGCCTTGTCCACTTCTCCTCAAGTGTGGCTGGGTTTCCCAAGCAGGAATCTGATCTCCTCTTCCTGACTCTCCAGGGGTTCCCACTGCTCCAAGGATGCATGTGCCCTCTCAGATGCCCCACTCAGCCTCCAGATGGGTCAAAGCCCCTTACTACTTCAGTACCTTCTTTCTCTCCTACAGTTGTACCTCTTCCTTGGGTTTCAATGGCCAGATTATGCCCTGTGTCCTCAGCTCACACTCTGTACCCTTGCTCTGCCCTTCTACCCACAGGCTTCACCCATCTCTGTCTCCCCCGATACCAGGGAAGCAGAACCGTTTTCAAGTCAGTAGATCCTGGCTCTTGACCTAGTTCTGCTGGACTTTCAGAGTCCAGCCTGGTCAAGTCACTTAATCCTAGAACTACCTATGTGCTGCTGACCAGTTTTAGAAGCAGTAAAGGAGAACACGTGTGCATGAATGTGCTTTGTAATCAAGCACTTTGTTCTCCAAGGACGGTGTGTTTTCTGATCAGTCAGTGCTCTGTCCTTTGAACTCCATCTGCTCCGCACCAGGGAACATTCTGTCTGCTCCAGCACTGGGAGGCCCTTGGGAAGTGCTGTTCTGTGAGGTGCTTCATCAGCACACAGTGGAGTTCTTCCTCCTGCCTGTCTCCAGAGCTATCTACATTGAGCTTCTATTCATCTCTGTAACCCTGTGGGCAATAGAAGGTCAAAAGGTCATGTCATCTTGACCACAGACTGTCCATGGTGAAGTTGGTGCACAGGGCTTCTCTGTATGCTTGTTTGCTATTTGTGCTTTGGTGTCTCATCAGTGGGGATCCTGAAAAGATTCCCAGGAGCATCTCTGAGGAAGTGAGGACATGGCATTGAGAAATGTCTTCTGCCTTGACTTGTTATTCCAGTGATCAGTGTTCTCTGGGGGAAAGCAAGGCCATCCCCTGCTCCTTCTTGCAATGGTTGGGAGACTGGATGATGCAAATATTTGCCAACAGGAAGCACACAGCAGGCACTGTGCTACAGACCTGCCACAAGGCATGCAGAGAGCATTCTGGTCTCTTCTCCCTGTGTCCTCTGTCTCCCGCAGAGCCACCTTCAAATGCAACCAGAGCAGGTGCCCAGGGCTTTGTTTTTCCCTAGCTGTGTCTGCCTTCCAGAGTGATGCTTTTGGTTTGAGTGTGTGAGAACAAGCTTGGGAGACACTGTTGAGCTAGGACACAGCTTAGGCTGCCCTTCCTGACCCAGGTTCAGAGGAGAATTGGCCTTGGCTGAGTGACTTGGGAGTGTTGGCCTGTCCTCTTCCCTTCTGCCATCTGTGTGATTCATATCCTTCACTAGAAACAAAACTGATGGGCTACCTGTGAGGAAACATCCTATGACAGTCATATATGTGCCCTGAAAGAGCTGTTCTTTATGCATTCGCTTCCAGTGTACATGTGTACATATGTGTGATGGTGAGGAGGGGCATGTCGATCACCTGTGCACATGTGATGGTGAAGAGGGGGCTGTCAGATCACCTGTGCACATGTGATGGTGAGGAGGGGTGTGTCAGATCACCTGTGTGTCAATCAATTTTGGCCTTATTGTTTTCTACAGGAGACATGGGGGACAAAGGACAGAAAGGCACCGTGGGCCGCCATGGAAAAATTGGTCCCATTGGCGCTAAAGGTATTTGAGACACACTTCTTGCCCTATATTTCCCTGATAGGCTCAGAACAGTGGCTGCCTGTGCCACTTTGCCTGGAGCTCTTGTTTTCATGTGTCACCCTGACAAATTCTGTTGCAGTATTCTCACTACAGGGATACTTAAAGGGATTGCTGGCTCTGTGAGCACCAGGGTGGGTGGGGTCACACCAGCCTATAGCACTTAAAGAGCATTTAACCTCCTGGATGCAGGATCCAGGTCATGTGCTGAGCCAGAGCCTGAATCTTCAGCACACCTTCCTTATAGAGCGTGATGAGATGATGAGAGACTCGTGTGGTCAGGATGAACCGGTTGTGTCATGAATTGTTGTCTTCACCCCCACTCCTATCCTCACTTTCCAACGGATGTGTTCTGAGCACCTGGACCCAGGGGGACACAAAGGTCATGCATTTCTCTTCGTGATCTCATTGAAGTCTCCTGTGCTCCTGTGTGGGTTTGCCATGGGGAGACTGAACTTGGGTGGCCAGGGGATGGCAATCAGAAGCAAAGGAGGAATTTGGCTGAGGTCTTCCCAGCTGTCTCTTGAGTTCTAACACTGGAGCGGGTTGACTCAGGCCTGGAGATGTCTTGGTTTGAGGTATGAGCTGTGTTTGGTTTGGGTGGTTTGCTGTGGTCCTGTGCTGTGCTTGCAGAGAAAGATTAGGAGTGTTGGGGAGGTGGGTACTCTGCTTGGTTATCTCTTCTTCAGGAACCTGCTGTCAGACATCATCCTGATGAGCATGGAGTGCTGAGGGACATTCAAGCTACAAAACCTTCACAGATACTCGATGAAGCATCAATCTCATAAAAGCTGCCATTTCAACTGTTCCAGCTGTACAGTTCAGTGGCGCCAACACATTCACGATGTGACGCAACCATGCCCACTGTTCCCAAAAGCTTTTTGTCACTCCACAGAGATGCTGCACCATTAAGCATTAACTCCCTCCCCTTCCCAGCCCCTGACAACCCAGAGTCTGCTTTTTGTGTCTGTGAATTTGCCCATCCTACATACCATACAACGGGATTCACTCTTTCTGGTGGTCTTGTTTCCCTCAGTTAGTACAGTGTTCTCAGAATTCATCATGTCAAAATCCCCTTATTTTAAGGCTGAAAGACACCCACTGCACAAATACACCATGTTTTGTTTAAGTATTGTGAGAATTCCTTCCCCGAGGAGACATAAATGATGTCTACCTCTTCCTCCTAAGGTCCCAAAAGCAAACCAAAGTACTATTTTTTTTTTTTTGTTGTTGTTGTTTTTTGTTTTTTCGAGACAGGGTTTCTCTGTGTAGCTTTGGAGCCTATCCTGGCACTCGCTCTGGAGACCAGGCTGGCCTCGAACTCACAGAGATCCGCCTGCCTCTGCCTCCTGAGTGCTGGGATTAAAGGCATGTGCCACCAATGCCAGTCACCAAAATACTATTTCACCAAAGTTTAACTTAGAAAGCAAATGGATTTATTGGTCTTACTTCCAGAGCATGGGTGAGGGACTACTTGCAGAACTGTGGGGGGCCCCAAAGCAGTGACATTAGAAAGTCACATTGATGGAATCTCCCCTTCTATGGGAAGTTAACCTTCCCTAGCATACATGCTCTGGTACCTCTGAGACTCCAAGGTCTGCATGCCCCCCCCCTTCTCTGAGTGATAAGACATCAACAGCCAACAGTTAGGGCAGAATCACATGTAAATGGTTGGTAGGAGTGGCTGGAAGTCAGGTAAGGGTCCAGTGACCCCCCCTTGCATTCCCCCATTCTCTGAGTGATGATGGGACATCAACAGCCAACAGTCACGATCTGATGGCATCTTGCCAAGTAGACACAGCTGTCAGGGTGAAGATTGTGGATGATCTGCCCAGAGGACGGAGTCCTACGCTGCAATCTCCCAATCCGTGGACACTCTGGCCATCTGTCCCCATTGGCTACTGTGGCCAATGCTGTAATGAGGGAGCCATCGAGTGAGTGAGAGGAAGACAGAAGGAGTGCATATTCTTTTCTACACAGCATGTGTGCTGGGCAGATCTCCAAGTCTCACATGCAGACCAGGGCCACCCTTGTTTGGCTTTGATTACTTGATTGGCTTTGTCTCCAGGGCTGTCCTCTTGGATCCTGGCCAGGCCGAGATTCTGGAGGTCTTCAAGCACCTGGAAGAACATAGGAATAATATAGGCAGGGGCTGCTTAAATGCTTCTTCCTTCCTTATGTGAACAGACTGCGAATCTGTAGACATGGAGCTCATAGCCCTTCACGGAGATGATTCTGTCCTCTGAGAAAGAGAGAGGATGCATTAGGGATTTAAAAATGACTGCTGTACAAACGCACACGTGGACATGCACACACACAAAACACACATATGCATGTACATGTACTCACAAAGCATACATACACAAGCACACACATAAGCATGCACACATACATGTACACACACACACACACACACACACACACACACACACAGAACATGGTGACTTGATCTCACAGAAGCTGGGCAGCTCTGTTGCTGTCATTGTGTTCTATACTATGCGTGTGTGTGTGTGTGTGTGTGTGTGTGTGTGTGTGTGTGTTTTGAGGAAATTGAAGGCAAGGGGTTAGGAGGCTTGCCCTGCCTACCTGGAGGCCAGGCAGGGTCCTGGTGTCTGGGCCCTTCTGTGACACTACATTACCTGGAGTGGATCCAGAGGAACTTTGATTACAGCTTGGGATTATCAGTGCTGTTTACACTTCCTGGATCAGGCTTTCCCTAAATTCATCCCACCTCCCATTTTATGTTCATCCAGATTTTCCTGTTGAGCTGGCCTACTGTCATCTGCTCTTGGTGTTAAGTAATCTATACAATGTTGCTTGTAAAACATTCCCTGAGGGGCACTGCGCTCCCCAGAGGTGACTTCAAGTATGCCATTGGATGCTCCCCCAAAGCCCATAGATTGTAAATGTCCATGTTTATAAACAGCCTAAGGAGCTGCTCTTAGAACATGGCAATGGGGACTGATGGGAAATCAATCCAGACCCTCGTACAGCTCTACCACTGAGCTACATTCTCAGCTTCAATAAATAAGACTTTTAACTTGACGCATTTTAATTCTAGGGACATTTCCCCTTTGGATGGTAACTTTAATTTTTCTTTTAATCACCCAGGTGAAAAAGGAGACTCTGGTGACATCGGACCCCCGGGTCCCAGTGGAGAGCCTGGTATGACAAATCATAAACCATGGGGCTGGAGCAATGGTCCACAGGTTCAGACCACTGGATGCTCTTCCAGAAGACCTGGGTTCAGTTCCTAGCAACCACATGGCAGCTCACAAATTATACCTCCAGTTCTAAGAAATCAGATGCCCTCTTCTGGCCTCTGGAGTCACTGTAGACACACATGGTGCACAGACATACATGTAGGCAAAACACCCATACACATAGAATGAAATAATTATAAGTAATAATGATAAATTAAAAAAAGAAAAAAGATACATGTGGCTGCATGAAGCCCTGGGGATGGTGGTGCACACCCATAATCTTATCAGTCATCATATAAAGGCAGGGGGAATAAGAAGTTCAAGGTCATCCTGGGCTACATAGCTGTGCTACATGGGATACAATCTCAAAACAAACAAAACAAAAGAGTTAATAACGGTAAGGTGCCCATGCTACCGTTTGGTACAACCCTAGTGAAACTCATTGGGACAGACAGACAGACAGACAGACAGACAGACAGACACACACACACACACACACACACACACACACACACACGGTGTTGGAAGGAGGAAGGGGATCAGTTGGAAAGGGTAGAAGGGGACAAGAGATGTTAACTGGATGAATATGATCAAAATACATTATGTACATGTATGAACATGTCACAGTGAAGCCCACTATCTCGCATAATTACTACACACGGTCAGAAACATTTGAAACTCACAAACTGAAACTGCCTTGGGCAGGAAAGCAGGGAGCTCAAGTAGCTGATAAGCTTCTTGTCAGGCTGGCTCTGCTGTGGGATAGTCCAGTCTCTGTTTTCTCTACTGTTGTAACCTTCTCAGGGTTGCAGTCTGTCTGCAAGGTATCATCCTGTCTGTGTAGCAGGCTCAGCTCTACCTGCCCTAGAGGTCAGGATGCTCATTTCCTGATCCCTTTCTCTGTGGCATATGCACCTGGTGTGTGTGTGTGTGTGTGTGTGTGTGTGTGTGTGTGTGTACCCTTCTTTTCCAAAACCAGATGCTGCTTCTTACAGGCATTCCATGTGAGTGCAGCCAGCTGCGGAAGGCTATCGGGGAGATGGACAACCAGGTCACTCAACTGACAACTGAGCTGAAATTCATAAAAAATGGTACGTTGGACTGAGGCCTTTCCCTTCCCTGCTCCTCCCTCCCCGCTTCTCCCCTAAAGCTGGACAGCATCTGCTGCTCAGCGTCCACCGCTGCCGTGCCTGTGGCCGTGGTGTGGTGGAGTGCGTTGAGTTTGTTTATAGAAATGCAAGTGCTGGCCTTTCAGCACTGCCCTCCCCTGCAGCTGTTGCTGGTGTGCGTGAGACTGAGAGCAAGATCTACCTGCTGGTGAAGGAGGAGAAGCGGTATGCAGATGCCCAGCTGTCCTGCCAAGGCCGAGGAGGCACCCTGAGCATGCCCAAGGACGAGGCGGCCAATGGCCTGATGGCGTCGTACCTGGCACAGGCCGGCCTGGCCCGAGTCTTCATAGGCATCAATGACCTGGAGAAGGAAGGTGACTTTGTGTACTCTGACCGCTCCCCCATGCAGACTTTCAACAAGTGGCGAAGTGGAGAGCCCAACAACGCCTATGACGAGGAGGACTGTGTAGAGATGGTGGCCTCAGGGGGCTGGAACGATGTGGCATGCCACATTACCATGTACTTCATGTGTGAGTTTGACAAGGAAAACTTGTGAGTGCTCAAAGTCTGTAGCTCAGGGGAGACAGCCATCTGAACCCTATCCTTCATAAACAGCCTTCAGGACACCAGTGGCCACAAGCTACCCCTGAGATCAGTCACCATGTCTGCCAGTTCCTTTCCATAAGGAGTTCAGAGCCTCATTGCCAGAAGGGCAGTTTGAATCATAGGAGGGGGAACCCTTGGTTCCCAGTGCTGGTCTGCATAGGTGAAGTTTTACCACTGTGTCCGAGCCGAGATGCCCATTATAGAGTCACCACTCAGAAAGATGCAGTGATACCCTTGTCTTTGTCCAGCCACAAATCAATGCAAATGTCGAAGCAGTCATGTGCAAACAGTGGCAGGTAGGAGTTGCCACCCACTTTTCAAACTACACAAAAAGCACCATTCGGTGGTGACCAATGTTTCTATAAGTTACTCTAACACATAGGTGCCTTTCACTATTACCCACGTAGGAACACAGCTGCTCTGCTTCAAACCCATACTTCAGGAACACGAATAAATCCTCTGGATTTCACTATGGAACGTGTGGCGCTTTCTGTTCTAGTTTCTTCAGTAGCTATGTTATCTATTGCTGTGGATTAAGCAAGCCACCCTGAAACATAGTGACCTAGAAGATTTTTGCATGAGGTGTCTGAAGGCCAGGGGTTCACACGAGGCTCAGCAAGTCTGTCACAGTGAGAACCAGGTCACTCACCATTGATTGATTTGGTGGGTTCCACTCCTCTGAGGATATATGGAATGGTGAGCCTTTGCTTCTCACTGGCTGGTAGGAAGCAGAGGTCACCACAGTCCTTGCTAATCAAAGGTCCCTCTAAGGCACAGCCCAACGTGGCAGTCCTGGCAGTCCCTTCATCAGAGCAGTGAGGGGAGGGGCCAGAGGACTCCTGGGAGACCAAAGCCACAGGCTTCCTAACCTGGCCTTAGGGCCACACTCCTCAGTGTTGGCTGTGTGCTGCTTATTAGGTCTGTCACCAGCTCCAGCCTACACATGGGACACTAGGGACTGAAGCTTGGATGCGGGGGGGGGGGTCTTGCAGTAACAACTCTTTCTAACCCCCTTTTTGTAAGTGGGAATCTTTAGTAAAACAGAATTAATGCTTTACTTCCCAAAGAAAATACATCATCACATGCAACTCTACTTGGGATCAAGAAAAGAGTGAATTATGGCGACAGCACCCTGGAGCACTTGGTCTTTCTAGGGAGGTCCTGGCTGCCCTATGTTCTGGGTAATTTTCTTTTTCTTTTTTCACTCAATCTGGAGGCCAGGCTGGCCTCAAACTCACAGAGATCCACCTGCCTCTGCCTCCCCAGTGTTGGGATTAAAGGCATGTGCCACCAACGCCCGGCAATTTTCTTTTATGTGTAGGTAGGTGCGGGGAGCTTCCTGGACACCAAACCCAGAGTCTTACACAGGCTTTACTCCAGTCTTAGACTGCTCCATGAAGAGTGTTTGCACAGTGAGCTAACCTGGAAGATGCAATGCTACCTGGTGAAGCCACGTATCCCACCCTGGCTTCAGCCTCAGAAAAATGGTGAACAGGTGTTCCCACTGTTCAGTGTGTCTGCCTTGGGAGGTGAGGGCAGGTGTGCTGTTTCTTGTGACAGTGCATCCGTGTCCCTAGAGTCAACCCTCCAGTCTCCAGGAGTCTTGTGGCTCCTGTCAGCACCCATGAACCTGGGCAGACTGACTTGGTGGCTTCTCAGACTCAGTTCTTGACATAAGTTTTTTGAAACTTTCTTGGAAGCTTATTTAGGCACCATGATGTCACACAGCACCGTCCTCTGAGCAGAATGAACTACATCTTCATAAATCTAGTGTCTGGTTGCAAAGTGCAATCATAGCTAGGCTGGTCAACTGCTGACATGCCCTCAATGCAAGAGGGGATGTGGAGGCCGGTTGTATGCAATTCTGTCCTAACTACAGGTGGACTTAGGGTCTCAGAGGAGCTAAATTATGTGGGCTGGGAAAGGACTAGGAGAAGAGGGCTCCGTCATCCATGCTGGGTGCACATCTTCCAGTATGGCTGTTTGAGGGTCTTCTACACTCTTGCACAAAGGGGGTGTCCACCTCGGGCTTGTGAGCCATGCTGGCATCTCCCTGCTCTTCAGTAGCATCTGCTGTCCATGAGATGTCTCCCTTGTTCACTTATCCTGGGTGAACCTTCAGAGAGAAAGAACGTTGCTACAGAAGTGGGCAGAGAGTCACCAGGGAAGTCTGATAGCTTAGTTCTCGTGTCCTGTGGACTGCCTGGAGAGTCTTCCTCATCCTACAAAATGGGATCTATGCTGTCTCGTGTGTCTGTGCCCACTCCCCAATGCCCTGACCTCCAGAGATCAACTTGTGCAAGCAGCTGTATGCCCACAGCAACCAGCCCAGGCACATCCCAAGCTGGGATGTGTCTTTTACACATGGTGGGAACCTGAGTCACCTAAACTCTTTGGGACTGGGGTTCCTTGTTCACTGGCCTCATGAGGACTCTGTGGGACAGAGCAAGTGGAGTACCCAACATGACTCAGTGCTGAGCACTTAACACCAAGGACACCGGGACACCTGCTGAGAGGCAGTGGTGATGATAACCTAATACAGTCTTGCAATCCCACGGGAACTCAGCATTGTTCAGGACATTGGTTCTTAACCTATGGGTTTCAACCCCAGTGTAGTCACATATCAGATATCCTGCAAATCAGATATTTTCATGATTCATAACAGTGGCAAAATCATAGTTATGAAGTAGTAACTAAATAACTTTACGTTTGGGGGTCACCACAACACCAGGGACTAGTTTTTTGTTTTTGTTTTTGTTTTGTTTTGTCAGAAGAGCTGGGGCTGCTTTAGTGGGGAAACTTGGAATTTTTTATTAGTTTATTTTTTACATTCCAATCCCAGTTCCCTCTCCTTCCTCTCCTCCCACTCCCCCAACTCCTCCCTCCTCCCATCTGCTCCACAGAGAGGGTAAGGTCTCCCCTAGGAAGTCTACTAAGTCTGTCCCATCATCTCCTTGAAGCAGGACCAAGGCACCTCTCCACTCCCACACCCCTGTGTCTAGGCTGGGCAAGGTATCTCTAGAATGGGCTCCACTAAATCAGTTTGTGCATTAGTGTTAGATCTTGGTCCCACTGCCAATGGCCTCATACATTGTCCCAGTTATACCATTGTCACCTATATTAAGGAAGTCTAGTTCGGTCTTATGCAGATTGATGAGGGACTGTATTAAAGGGTCGAAGCATTAGGAAGATTAAGAACCACTGCTCTAGTATGTGTTCATCCTTAGCCCTGAAGCCTCATCTTTACCTCATTGGAACCGAGCGGGGGTGGACCAGAGCTCTGTCCTGCACACTGCCTCCCATCTCATGGGAGGCTGGAAGCGCCAGGCGCCTTGTGGTTTCCTCTGTTAAACTCCATTTAGGCAAATCTGTGTTATTATAAAACATGGCGACGGCATTCTAGCCATTATCTGTCCCTGGTTACGGACATTGACATCACGGTGACTGTTTGGAAGCAAGCAGATCAGATCGGGTACGCACACTTGGGCCCGGAGCTAGACCTCTGTTGTGAATTTCCTTCCGAGGCTCCTCGGGAGGGAAACTCGGTCCAGAACCCCCGGGATGGCTGGGGGCGGGGCTGGCTGCACAGCAGGCAGGGCTGCGGCGGCTCAGGCAGGAGCTGAGATTCATTAGGTGCCGCAGTGAGGCGTGACCGAAAAGCTGGCGTGGGTGTCCTCTTTAGAGCCCTCTGTGGAGCATGGGCTGAGATGGATGAGCGGAGAGACAGCCTGGGGCCGTGGGTCAGCGGTGTCA